GCTTCTTCTGCCCCCTCCCCTACTCTCGCTTGCCCACGTGGCCCAGCTGCCTCTCTGCAGTGGAAACTGGGAGCTTGTTTCATTCTGTCCCCCGTAAAGAAAGTGCCTATTGCTCTTCCTGTGCTGGGAGGTTATGAACATGAGCCTGCCTGCATCCTGACCTACCACGGAGGAGAGCCCTGACTGTCGAATGGGCCTGCAGTTAGACGCGGCAAGATTTGCCTAGGCAAGCATTACCAGCCCAAAGCATGAGGGCTGAAGAAAGAAACTTCGCAACAAACTGACTTCTGCAGCTGTGTCATGCTGGAACAATGGAGCCAGGAAAACCCCCTGGAGAGAGGACTCATCGCGATTTTCCTGGCCTAAGTAACCAGTGATATAAAAGTGAAGGTGCATCTGGCTGGGATTCTTCAGAAATGAATTTCTTTTGGTCGTTAGAATTCTGACCTCCCCCCGCCCCGCCCCAGGTAATCAGTGATTCAGTGCAGGGGGCGTGGGCTCGGTGATTAGAGGCCAGAGAAATCACTCAGTGCTGAGCCCACTTTGAACAAAGACCCGTGACTCACATGCCCACTTACCTCTTCAGGCCACAATTCTCCTGTCTGGACAAGGAGGAAAATCATTTCATGTTTGCAGTGGAAACAGACTATGCTGGGAGTCAAAGCTTCTTTGCGGGGAAATCTTTCTAAAAACTGTGAGTTCTCCTTTTCTGATGTTAGGCAGCCTGCCCGGCTGTACAGACTTTCTCTGAGTGTCACCATTTCTCCCGTGGGGCTGGGGGCCGGGCACGCTTAGGCCACGGCCTTCCTCCTCCTATCTAGAATTCTGCCTGATTTGCTCCCGTCTCTCCCAGCCTGCCAACTCACCTCTCAGTGGAGAGCCAGGCCCTGGGAGCTCTTTAAGCCTCAGTCTACCCAGAGCAAAAGGGTGTTAATAATACAGCTCTATCATAGGGTTGATGAAAAGCTCAAATAAAACATCATAATATATTCACACGGTGCCAGGCTGTTCCGAGAGCTTTACCCATATTAACTCGCGAATCCCCACAACACCCTGTGAAAGAGGATTATTTTTAGCTGTATTTCATCTATTCTAAGATGCACATTATCTTTTCGCATTTTAACACTCTGAAACTGGGGCACTTTTTTTTTTTTTTAATTGAAACAGATTATAGTTTAATCAGCAGCATTTTTTTTTTCTTAGTGGCACAAAGTAATTGTGACACACCTTGAAATGGAAGATGTTGTTAGATTGGATAAAATGTGGCGTGCTAGTTTCACACACGAGGAAACTGAGGCGCCCAGAGGAACTGATTTCTTCCAGGCCCCACAGTCTAGTTGAGAGGCAGGGTTGGGGCTAGAACCCATGTGGAGTGCTGAAGAATCTGCTCTTTTAATCGCTATGCTGGGGTATCAGCAAAGCGCTCGGCATGATTCCTGGCTGTCTTAGGATCTGCCCCAAATTAGAGGAGCTCCTTTTCTGTCTGGGTTTTTAGTGACAGCAAGACAGGAACTTCAGGCACTGAGAGACACAAGAGATAGAGCTTGTATAAAGTGTTCCGCACCTTTGTGTAATTTTTGCCAAATCTCATTTCTGCATTTTCAGAAATGCATTTCTAGAATATGGATGGGATATTCTTAGTGCCTCTCCTTTTTTTCTTTCACTTTTCCAAGGAAGAAAATGTGGGTCCATAGTATCTACACATGCCTGGGGGCCCCCACCCCCATGGTGATCCCATCAGACTTCCTTTGTGCCTCCTTGGGAAACAAAGGGAGAGGGGGCTGTGTAACAGGTTAGGGAGCCAGACAGAGCCCCACAGAAGGCTTCCTCAAGGGAAGACATTCAAACAGAGCATTTGTATATATTATTCATATTCCTGCCATTGAAAAAAAACTACACAAAGATGTTATTGGAGGCAGGGTGCCACTGTAACATCAGTTATGATCCCACAACTTCCATTTCTGGAGAAAGAAAGTGCCTGGCTCCAGAGGGCTTCGGATCTCAGCCTGGTGTTTTTCCCAAGTGTCACCTATTGTGCTAATTAACGCACGGTGGACTATTGTAGGTGACATTACCTTGCAGCCCAGTGTGGCCTCGGTTTCCTCCCTTGAGAAGCCAGATCTTTCCCTAGAACAATTCTCACTGGGCAGTTACTTGCCTGGCTGCCTGGCATTTGTTATTCTCTTTTCATATGTCATCCCCCCAACCCAAACATAAAAACTATTTGAAGCCAGTGACTGTGCCTCTCCTTTTTGTGTCCCTCATGGCGTGTGCCAACTATCACCAGCTTGATCAGCATGGCAAGGCAGGGAGGGCTTCAATTCTGGAGCCAGACAGAGTGCCGTTCAAGTCCCTGCCCAGTTCCTTTCTGGCAGGGTGTCCCTGGGTAAGGGACCTGTCCTCCCTGAACCTTGGTGTTGCCATCTCTCTTGTGAGGAGGTGACAGTTCACGGCGTGAAGTATTGTAGATGGTTCTGCAATATCACACCTAAAGACTTTTGCTCAGAACCTGGCACCTGGCGAATACTCAACACGCTCCAGCAGTCGTCACTGCCGTTACCACCACTGCAATTGTGACTCATTTGATTTGCACCAGAAGTCAGTCCTAGTCTCTACATATTTTCTTGTGGCTTGTCAGTTTCTAGTTAGCCTGGTTTTGGTTCATCAGTGCTGTACAATAGCTCAAAAAGTTGAAATTCCTAAAGGCCCTTCAGATGTGCACGAGGGCTTCCTGGAGGGTCTCCATTGCTTCCCTAGCACGGGGTGCGGGCGGCAGGCTTTCAATGAGTCTTCAGTGTCTGAGGCCTTAGTCTCTCCAACCGTTCCCTAGACACCTCCTCCCCTTCTCCTGACCTCCCTGAGTCCCACCTACCCTCGTCCCGAGGAACAGGTGTCATTCCAACCTCTGTGTCTTCCTCTACTTTCTTCTTCTCAAGCTGGAAAACTCTATTGCATTTACTTGAATACATGCCTTTTTCCTTCCACAAATTCTCTCTCTCTCTCTCTCTCTCTCTCACACACACACACATACACGAGACTGAGTTAGCTGTCCTGTGAATTCCCACAACACCCCTGATATGTCCCCAGCACACTATTAATTAACTTGCATTTAATTATTTGCTCATTACCTCTTTTTCTCCCTATCCCAAACATGCACGCTGTAGATTATGAAATCTTTAAAGGCAAAAACACATTGGGTGCAAGAACACATAGCAAGGGTTCAATAAATGTTTGCTGAATGAATAAAAACACAATATGACTAACATCTAGCAAGGGTGTCCAACCTGCAGCCCGCGGCCAGCATGCAGCTCAGGATGGCTATGAATGCCGCTCAACACAAAATTATAAATTTACTTAAAACATTATGAATTTTTTTGGTGATTATTATGTGTCGCAGTGTATTTAATGTGTGGCCCAAGACAACTCTTTTTCTTCCCATGTGGCCTAGAGACGCCAAAAGGTTGGACACCCCTGATTCTAGGGTGGGCTTATTATGTGTCAGGAGCCATTCGAGGAGCTTGGGCATATCACTCCGTCCTCACAACAATCCCATGGGGAGGCACTAGGACGCCCCCACTTTACAGATGGCAACACTGAAGCAGAGGAGCGCTGCAACTCGTCCAAGGTCACAGGACCGCTAAGAAGCAGATGCAGGGTTCAGAGCCAGGCCCTTTGAGTCCACTGCCCATGCTCGTGCGCCCACCTCTGCTGCCGAAGCAGCCACCTCGCTCTTCATCCTTTCCCTCATTCCCCTCCCGCCACCGCTGTACAGGGAAAGGTCAGTCCCAGAGGGAGCTGCTCTGGATGAAACCTGTCTCTGTGTGGCATTTTGAGATGAAAGGAGGCACATGAAGACTGTATCTTGTAGAGTGAGCTCACCATGAGCAGTGCAGAACGGCGTGTTAATCCTTAGAGACTGGAAGCTCAGGAACACTCGGGGCTCCGTGTAAGCAGGGCTGAATTTTAAGCTCTCTTTTGTGCACTGACTTCTCCCCAGGTGCCCCTTCCTGAACCACTGTGGAGCAGTGTGGCCTTTGGCCCTCTTCCCCACTGTTCACCTACCTTGGCCAGTCAATGGTGATAATCAGGGTTTGTGGGTACAATAACAGACACACTTAACAAAGACATAACTGGCCTACCCAGTCACGATCATTTAAAAACAAAAACACTTGGCCCGGGCCAGTGTGGCTCTGCTGGAGCGTTGTCCCATACACCAAAATGTTGGGGATTCAACCCCAGTCGGGGCACATACCTAGGCTGCGGGTTCAATCCTTGGTTGGGGCGCAAATGGGAGGCAACCAGTCGATGTTTCTCTCTCAGATCGTTGTTTCTCTCTCTCTCTCTCCCCCCCTCCCCCTTCTTCTTTCTCTAAAATCAATAAACATTTTTTAAAGTGCTAGAAACAAACACTTGACTCTGGTCCTTGGATCAACAACAGTATTTCATGTCGCTTACACACATTGTCAAGTGTTAGTATCACGCTAAACAATTTCCTTATCTTAATTCACTTGGTCCTCACACTGTTTCTGTACTCCACAGACACGGAAACAAAGGCTCGCAGATGTTAAGCATCATGTCTAATGTCAAGAACTGGTGAGTAGCAAAGTCAGGCTTCAACACCCAAAGTCTGGCATTTTGAACTCTCTCCATCAGAGAGGGGATATGCATGTACCTTGAGCCCAAAGGATCTCTGCAAATAATTTCTGCAACAGCAAACCTACAATCCATCTTAATTTCTTTCTGATGTTCTGTAGTGGCACTGCTGATGTACCCCATCATTTTGGAATTACTGGCTAACAGGATGGCCTAACGCACCATTCTGGCGGCTGTTTTCATTCTTTATGAGAAACCAACCCCTGACAGCCACAGGGATGTGCCTCGACACTTTAATTACACCACAGCTCTTCCCTCTTCCCTGTCCCTCGTTGGTCTGGGGGCTAATTCCTATTTCACTTGGTCTTGAAAACATGTTTGGTTTTGGCGGAAGGGAGGAGACTTACCTGTGATGAAAGTCCTGAGGCATAAAAGCCACAGAGGGACCCTGGGTTGGGGGAGCTGTGTGTCTTCTTGGTGGCTGCTGCCTTGGTCATCTTGGAAGTCCTTCAGGCTTAGCCTATGTCCCCAAGAGAAGAGTTTTTCCAGAATCTTCTACCTCAGCCACTGGTGTGAGAAGCTCCAACAATTTCACCTCGACTCTCGACCCAGGAGTAATGGAAAGCAAGTCATCGAAGTTTCCAACCAACAGGATAAGAAAGTCCAGCTGGGCTGGATGAGGAAAGCCTGAAATTATTCACTTTTTAGAAAGTTACAAACTTTCATGAGCTCTCCCTCTCTTTGAAAAGGGATATTTTCTCTCTTATAAACAAAAATAAAATATGAACTAAAAAAATGAAACGCCACTGATCAAGTCTGAGGGGGGCCCATAGAGGGGCCCCCAGAACCCTGTTTTAAGGCGGCTCCACCTTGCAGATCAGGTTCCCACTACGAGGGAGAGAAAACGGCCAGCCGCAGACTGCAAGGCTTGGCCCACCCGGTTGCCTGGCAACGAGACGCCGTAGAGGGCTTTCTCTTTGGCTGGGATGAGTGGGGGCGGGGTTGCGAACTCTCCGCCTCCTGGGACAATGGTTGGGAGCCGTTGGCTGGCCAGGAAGCCACATTCTCCAAACTCTGGTTTCTTCTCTTAGGCCTGATGACTTCGACCCCTTCTGTCTGCTTAACGACAAGTGACCGATTCCTTTCAAACTCTGTTCTGCTGTGCTACTAACCCATTAGTGATTTCTTGTGTCTCGCGTTGGGCAGCTCAATGTGTGTGCCTTTAGCCCCACAATCACGTTAACCTGAGGTGCCTATTTCTCTTCTTTTTCCACCGACAAACCCCTACCCATCCTTCAAAATTCACACACACACACACACACACGTGTGCATGACATTTATTGACTATTTAGAATGTGCTAGACACTGCTCTGTTTTATTTATATTAACTCCATCCTCACAAAACATCTTTAAGAACGGTACTTTATGACTTTTTTACAGACTAGGAAACTGAGGCACTGAGAGATTGAATGGCATGCTTAAGGTCACACACAAAGCGCCTAAGCTGGGATTCAAAGCCAGACCTGTTTGATTTCTAAAACCCAAGCTCCTAACCCTCTAGCTGCATGACTCCAGAAAAGATGACTAATTTTGCTGAGCCTTGTCTTCCGTAGCTCTAAAACAGAAAAAAACAGCTTTACCCCAGGTCGCTGAGGTTTAAAACGGATGATGTATGTAAAGGCCGAGTACGAGGGAAGCCCTGATTAAGTGGCAGCTATCGTTATCGTTATAGCCGCATCCCTAGGAAGAATTAGTCATTTTTACAGTGCAGTGTTTATTTCACAGCAGATATTAACACTAATATTTATCGATCACTTGCTCTGTGCCAGGTGCTTGACTAAGCACTTTACATACATTAATTTATTTAATCCTTCCAATAACCCTGTGGGGTAGATTGCCAGCTTGCAGAAGATTTATTACACGTGCTCTGACTTGCACGCTTTATCCTGGGTATTAGTTCACCCTGGATCAGTCTGACTCACTCGTTATCTCTAAACCCTGAACCGCTGAGGGTTATGACGTCATCACAGCCGCATGGTGAGCTCACTTTCTCTTTAGACGGCCCCTGGGACAAGATGACTCTCCGCAGAATACAAAATACCTACTATACAGATCCAGACGCTGAGGCTTGGAAGTCATTATTTCCTTGCCTTTGTCCGAAGACTGAATCTGACCTTCCCTTCCACGGGGAGTTTTGTTCCTTCCTGCTTCCTTTGTGGGCAGCATTAGCAGTCAGCAAGCACTTTCAGAAGGATGCAGATACACTGGATTGTGTTCAGAAGATGGGGCTGGGGGAAGGACGGATAAGGAAACAAGACAGAATGCGACATGGTTAGCCCTGAGCAGACCAAAGCACTCTATTCATGTGGCTTTGAAGGACAGGCTTGGGGAAGAAGGGCTCAACCAGTTCTTCATGAGCCCAAAGAACAGGAAGAGGGTTTTGGCGCAAGGTGAAGAAATGTGCGGCAGAGCATTGCTTTCAAAGGCATGAGCTCTGGAGTCAGACTGACTTGCCCACAGAGCGGCCTCCTGATCATCTCAGAGGACTGTGATGAAAACCGAATGGATAATCTGTGAGAAGCACAATAACTACCAAAAGGGAAGTGCTCAATATATGTTAACTCCTTTCTTTTATACCCTTCTGTCAGAGCCACGTGAGAATTGGAAGTAGAAAGGGCCCTGGAATTGAAAAGACCGGTGTACAAATGCAGGCTCTGCCATTGACTGGTAACGAGATCTTGGTGAATGAAAGCACTTCACCTCTCTGAGCCCCAGTTTCGTTGTGTGTATACATAGAGATGGTAATGCCCACCTTGTACGGTTGGGAGGAGTGGAGAAAGGATGAATGTATAGAGCACAGTAAGGGCTGAAGGCGTGCATGTTCCCTTTTCTGTTCACGAAGGGATGTGTTCCATAGGGAGAAAGTGAGCTCCTCAGCACTAAGTGTTCAACGAAAGAAGGCCACATTCTGAGGTACTGCGGTTAAGGCCTCAACATATGAAAGTTTGGGGGACACAAATCAACCCATAACACTGAGCTATCTCAAGCCAAGAGCACACAAGTGTTAGATGGATGTCACTATGTCTCCCTCAAAGACTTAAAATATCCCCATCATTTCCTGTGAATTTTCTGTGGCATCATGGGGTACCTTGGTGCATAGTTTGGGAACCATGGGGCTATACGAATGTTTTCTGTCTTTGAGCTGAGCAGCCTGGACATGCAAGAAGTTAAAACCCACAGAAGTAGGCATAGAGTAGAACCTAATGGGAGCATGAGGACAGATTTCTCACCTCCCCACCTGTCAGGGAGGACATTTCTGGGGGGGCACGCTCTGTACCCCACCAGAGGCCCCTTCAGAACCGACTTTGAGGCAACACTGTTACCTGCTCACCAATGACCCAGTACTGGCTGCTTCACTCCCCTTCTGGCTCTGCTCTCATGACATCCCAAATAAATGACTTAAATGCAAAATCTTGTTCCTGAGCCTGATTCTGGGGAGCCCATCCTAGGTCAGTGCTGACTGGAATAACTAGGCAGGTCAGACCTGAGTCAGGCCATGAAGTTTCCCCTTCCCTCATCTTGTTACATGAACTTGCCATCTACCTTCTTCGATCACCTTGCCCCGTGACCTCTTTCTCACCATTGCTCTCATGGCTCTCTCAAGGAGTTTCTTGATATTCTCCACATTCCTTAAACACTGAAAGAACAACATGTTTTCAGATATGCAAACACCCCCCTGCCAACAGCGAAATATTTGACAACTAAGATGGGAAGTGATTGTTTAATTCTTAATTTCTAGTTGATTTATACAAAATATAGGCTGAAAGGCATGAAGTGACAGGCATTCTCTCCTCCCAATTTTCCAAAAGGAAAGGCATCTGAACGCATTAGAAATATATGTGTCAAGTAGAAGAAAATTTTTGGAATGTGTCGGACACCAGCTGGGTTAGCTAAGTGAAATTTCAAAATCTGTTCAACATGTGAGTTTCAGTCAATAGTACATATGTTTGGCATTAAAAACCGATTGGAAAGGTCATTATTTTTAAAAATATCTTTAAAATACTTTTCTGTGTTGCATCTAGCACCCAGAGAATGCCTTCTGGGTATTTTTACTGAAATGTCAGCATCGGATTTACAAATTATAGAGCCCAGGGCAAGAGTAAAGCTCGGGGCCCACCGACACCTGGTAGCTGGCAGTCTATCGATGAATTAACGCCCAGATGAAATAACACTGGGCTAGGTGTACTTGCACCACCTCTGCACGTGGTTCCTGTACCTCCTCAGAGTAAAGAGTCACTGCTGGCTTCCTTGCCTCTTGAGGGCTCTGTGGTTCCATATCGCATTCCTACCCCATCATCCAAACCGCACCCCAAGAGGGGGAGGTGAACTTGGATCTTTGTAAACAAAGAGGAGACCATGTCACGCCAGCCTCCCACTCCTCCTCTTCCTCTCATTACTTTGGTTCAGGAAGGAGTGGGGCTTCCAGGAATATTCTTAGTGAGTTTCCCCACTGGAAATCCGAGGATGTGGCCCAAGCGATTTTCATGGAAAATGCTCTCCATTTTCACATGCTTTATCTCCCAGTGTGCTGGGATGCAGGGCAGATTGGAGTTAGGGAATTATTAATCCCATTTTTACAAAGGTGGAAATTGGGATTTCGTATGTTGTTAGTGGTGGGGGGGGGTTTCCTGAGAACCCAGGTTTTATGATTCCAAAGTGATTTATTTTGTACTGTCCTGATGGTCTTTCACTTAAAGGGTGTGTGTGTGTGTGTGTGTGTGTGTGTGTGTGTGTGTGTGTGTGTGTGTTCACTTAAGCAGAATGACCTAGGGTTATCTCTGCAAACTCTACCAAGGCGATTGGGATTTCCAAGCCACCTGGAAGACTTTAACTTCTCTAGACTTCTGGGAGGAGCTTTTGCTCCGCGTAAGACATCTCAAACCCCCGTCTCAGGAAGGAAAACACTTCCCTGCCATGGATTTCCAAATAGTTCATAATTTCCTGTTCAGTACTTGTTCTAGAACCTGTATAGGTAGACACGTTCAAGTCCTAAATCCCAGTGCCTGTGAATGTGACCTTATTTGGGAACAGAGTCTTTGCAGATATAATCAAGTAAGGGTGAAGTCATATTGGATTAGGGTGGACCCTAATCCCATGACTTGCTGTCCTTAAAACAAGACTGAAATTTGAATATAGAGACAGAAGACACACAAAGGGAATGCCATGTGACAACAGAGGCAGGCATGTGACTACAGGCCAAGGAATGCCAGGGATTGCCAGCAACAGCTGGAAGCTAGGGGAGGGGCCCTGAGGCCCGTCAGAGAGAGCATGTCCTTGCCCATCCCACGAGTTTGGACTTCTAGCTCCAGAACCTTAAGGGAATAAATTTCTGTTGTTTTAATTCCCCCAGTTGGTGGTAATTTGTCACAGCAGCCCCAGGAAACAAATCCACCACCCATCTTGCTCCAGCTTCATTTCCCTCTCTGCCCCAACTGGG